GCTGAGCAGCTTATGGGCGAGAGCAGCGGCTCGTGGTTCTGGACACACCACTGCGGCACAGGTGCCCCAGGCAGGTTTGGGGTTTTTTTGGCACAGAAGGAACAGAGAGTTTGATCCAGCTCCCCAGCAGTGTCGCCCGTCTCACCCTCCCCACCCATCTCTCGGGCACAGCAGAGTTTGGGAAAGGCGGGAGAGACCGAAACACGGGGGACGGGGGCCTGGGAAGGTCGGGAGGAGCAGGAGGGCAGCAGAGGAACACGCAGCATTTGTAAGCTGAATTTTGGGGCGCTTGGTCTTTTCTTCAAACGGCACCCTCCAATGCAGAGGTGACACAGCACCTCCTCCACCAGCCAAGCCAGCAGCTGCCCTCCGCAAGGATGCGTTCGGCCCCGAGGCTGAAGGTCCCGGAATCCGCCGAGGGCACAAATCCTGAGCTGGAGCACCCGCTTCCCCCACCCGTTTCCACTGCTTAATCCCTTGGTTCTTACAAGGTCTCCAGCCGCCGCTGCCTCACCTTCCCCTTCAGCAGCAGGGAACAGGAGGGACTGGTGGGGGCTGAGAGGACATCGGCACTGGCCAACACGTAGCTGAAGGTTTTGGGACCATCCACGGAAGGGGGAAATGAGCGGCCACGTTACTGAAGGAAAAGAGGGGCGGAGAGGGCACGCAGAAGTACTTTTTGCACAGCCGTGGCTCATTGATAGCACATGCTCAGGAAAGACCGCAGAACATGAGGGGAAGGTGCTGCTCTGTGCAGCCGAGCTACGGGGAAGGGGAGAGGAGGCAGAGGCCCCCCCAAATCCCTCTCTGCTCCTCCCACCACTCCTCCGCAGCAAGAGAGGGATGGCAGACCACGAAATGCTGGAATCGCTCTTCCCCCACTGCCAAGGCGGTCAAGGACACGAGAGAGAGGCAAAAGGCACTTTCTTGGGGCCTTTGCTGGTAGCTTGGACCCAAAATATGTGGAAGGACTGGGGTTTTTCCAGTACGGCACTACAGCCGAGTGCGTCCTACCACGTCCTCTGCGTCAAGACTGTTTTGCTACGCACCACCCATGGCTTTTCATGAAGTCAGAGCTCCGGAGCCTCATAGCAGCTGGAGGCTGCCATAGAGACGCAGCCTCCCCCTTTGATCATATATTCTCTTTGGAGAATAGCAGGGAAGAAACTTGTGTCCAGGGATCCTCCTCACAAAGATGACAGACACCTCTTTTTTGCTAAGGATCACTGTCATCAACAATAGAAACCAGAAATCGTTCTTGAGGCTCTTCACCCCAAACTGCTTCCTCCTTTGATGCCTTCCGATTCTTTAGCTGTCCCCAACTACCCAGCCCATCTGATGGTCACCAGCCTGGCACATTGCACCACGCTCTCACACGGCATGAGCCTTCACTTTCAGCCCAACCTCCGCCTGGTCAATCCACAACACTGGTCCAACATGGCCTGACTGCAGCTCCTCAACTCAAAACCCTGCCATCAGCCCTGGGCACCACCCAACACAGACAGATGTCCCCTTCTTCAGTGACAGCCTTTGCCTGTGGGATACAACCGGGCTGAGACACGAGTCCCCCTTTGCACCCACCCGCCACAAACGGGTAGCACTAACAAGTCCTACGGGGTCCTCAAAGGTGGCATCTATCTCCAGCAGACTGGATGGTGACTCCACTGTTGCTCTTGAAGTTATCAGGGAAAAGGCTCCATTTAAATGTCACCTAACCCTGACGAAGACGTAAACAGTCACAATTTCATTTGCTACACTCCAGCACCCACTTCAGCATGGTATTAATGACTACCCAGTGAAGTAGGACAACATCCCTTTTCAGAAACAAAAATTAAACTCCCAACATGGATACTCTTCAACAGCCTAAGTGCCCTCATTTACATTACGAATGCTAGTTAAATACATACACAATCTTCTGCTGTGGTACAACCTTCCTAAATTAATTCCAGTGATAGACAGAACAGACCAAAAGGACCACCCTCCAGTCCACCCAGAGGAGCTGTATCCAGACCGTGAGCCAAAGAAATGGTGGCTGCGGGGACAGAGAATTTCATTCTCCCCTGGAGGCGATGCAAGACTTCTGGTATTTGGATGGTCCCCAACGAATTGATGACTTGTAGGTTTTCTCTGCATAAGAAAGCAACCGCCTCTACAAATGCAGGTGCTGCAAAGCGTCCGTTTTCTAGCAGCTCAGTGACTACCACGGTCAAGGAGCAGTACGGAAGCAGCCTTGCTGCAGGCAGTGCAGAAGGAAAGGGGAAGTGTGGAGGTGGACTCCAGGAAAAGGACCTCACACACACGGTCACAAGACAAACTTATCTGCTACTTGCAGCAGGGAGATGAAGAAAGAACAAAGTTGTCCCGAGATAATGAGGCAAGATAAGGAGAGTCGAAGTCGGAACAAGCCAAGGGTGTATTAAGTGAGATGGGGCAGCAGGTCACGGCACGGATGGGAAGACAACAATGATGGCAGAAGCTCGCTCTCTTCAGCCACATCAGAAGACACAGGGCTGGAGCAACCCACAAAATCATTTGTGCTACAGAAACTATTATTTATTTGACCGGTTTCAGCTGAGCTCTTGTCCAAACTATGTATCTGTGATACTTCTTGCTCTTCCAGGAATGAAGGGAACTGGCTCCCCAGAAGGGCAGAGAAAGAAAAAACCTGTGATACTTCTTGCGCTTCCAGGAATGAAGGGAGCTGGCTCCCCAGAAGGGCAGAGAAAGAAAAAAAAAAAAACCCAAGACCAAAGCTTTAAAAAGATAACACTTTTGGTCAGACAGAATGACTTTGCCCCTTGCACTTCTTGTATCAGTCCATCATGAGGAATAAGCTAACTGTTAAAAAGCAAACACACATATGAAAGATGGCCTAGGGGTTATGAAATACCACCCCAAGCCAGAGGCAACGAAGAGCTGTGAAACACGTCTCTCTCGTGGCAGGAGGAAGGCAGCACGAAGCTCTCCAGGGGCTGCCTCAGTGACTGGTTAAGGGCTGAACTGACAGTCCAGACAGTCCCTCTCCTGCACCCCTCCCCAGCACTGTACTTTTAAATTGATGCCATTAAGCCAGCAAAAAGTTGTTAAGTTAAAACTTAACCTCAATTTAAACTTGATTTACGTGGCTTTGGCTTGCACCAGTAAATTTACAAGGACAAGTCACAACAATAAAATGGTTTTAAAAACAGTAAAACATACGCATGCAGGACTCGAGCTCTCACTCGCCCAACTGGTTCTACCTACGTCAGTGCAACTTGGGGTTAAGATAAAGCCTTATTCCTCATTTTCACCTGAGGTTCTTACATCATCTCTTTCAGCCTCGATGCTTCTCCACAGCACTAAGGTGAACAACCCATGCAGAGGGATTGTGGCCGGTTCATCCCTTCCACTTCATCAAACCAACATGATCAATTCCCAGCTCGGAAGCGAGGACGGTGTCAGAAAACCAAGTCCTGGGCACCTGGGGAAAGCCTCCAGGTGCTGTGGAAGGGCATGATCCAGCAAAGAGCATACCTGACAACTCACCTGAGACATGGCAACCTTTTCTTTCAGTGCACAGGGGTTAGTTCACCCTAAAAGACTTATGAACAAAAAAACCTGCAAACACTTGTACATATACAATTGGAAAACATTTAATCCCGAATTCGAGCGACTTAAAAAAATAATTTTTTTAAAAATAATTCTGATGTGTGCGGCCTGCTGAGCTTCCAAGCATCCAGCCTGGCCAAGGCCAACCTTCCCCTCCCTCTTGCCATGATACTCCCCTCTCCCAACCACCGTAACCTTTTGTGCACGGTCCTGTTCCTAGACACATACCGATGCACTCCATGGAAAAGAATGAGCAGCTCATTACAAGGAAGGGAATTTCAAACACATGGCTCAGCAAGATGCTTTTTCCAAGTCCTTGGTGGTTTTTTTCCCCTCTGAGAACAGGCATGAACTCCTCGATGTCCTCCCAGCCTCCCACCACTTTCAGCAGGCTCTCACTTCCCGACCGTGTCCTCTGCCAAGATGAGATCAGCAGCGTTTTTCCCACAAGCAGCAGGAAGGAACATTTTTGTTTACACTGAAGTTTACTGTTCCCCTTCGCTCTTCAGTCTCTCCGTTCCACCTCAGTGGACCTTTGAACATTTGCACAGCAACATGTTTTAGTGATATGCTCCAGGGCAGCCATACTCTCTGTTCTGGTTCATACCCCCAAGTTTTCGGCAAACGCTCAGCCCGTTTGACGCGGCTGCAGCCAACGCCATCTTTTCGGCACTTGTGCCTTGTGGATCTCCTTTTTGTCTTTGGCCATGTACTTGGCGGAGGGTTGGACCACAGAAGCCAAGTTAAGTGAGTTACCTAAATGTTATCATAGGGAACCGCAAGGCCAATGTTGTAGTTGTAACCAGTCACTTCATCGTAGGAACTTTCTACAGCCAGCTGGTCCGCTGAGAACTCATAGGCATAAATGATTCCTCGATGCCTGTACCAAACACAGCCAGGACACACCATTTTACCTTAATTATATATTTCAACAGGGGAGATGAACAAAGTTAGAGATCGCCATAAAGGATCTAAACTCGATGCTTCACAAGCAGAATATAAAAACGCTTCCCTTCTGCCCTAGGGCTGTCTGTGCAGTTGTAACAGAGAAAACTCCCTCCTGCCTCCTTCCAAGGACCCCACCAAGCCCTGGAAACAAACGGTGAATCATTCACTTCAGCACTGCAGAGACATGACTGTCATCTGCTGAAACATTTCTGATCTGTTCAGGAAGGGGGGAGATAAGTACATTGTAGTTTCATAGTTCAATTAGGCATGCTAACAGCCCTCTGAGATGCAAATACCAAAACCTGGAGGTTAAATACCAGTATTAGATACCAGTAGTTCTCCTTTAGGAAGAGATATCATTACTAGTATTTAGAACAAGGAAAGGGCTGCATTCCCCGTCTGGCTTCAGTGGCCTTCACATTCCCCCGCTGAAAAAGAAATGCTTTTTTGTTGTGCTGAGAAGTAAATAAAGAGCCAATTCATCAATGGTTTTGAAAGCCTTATCTTTAAACTTTTTTAAATTTATTTTTTAAATGCTATACCTTCTCTATTACTGCTCTGCATCATGACTCAGGTGCTTAGTGCGCATTTAAAAATATGTAATAAAGCAGATCTTTGCAGTGTCAAAAACTCTACCCTTCAGAGCTGGCTTACTCACTTGCGGTGCACGGTAAGGTCATCATCTATGATGCTGGCGCCTCGGGGAGTTTTCTCATCGGGGATGTTCGCAGTGATGAGGCTATGAGAATTAAACCATACGTGGCGGACTGGATGTCTGAAAAATAACCCACAGCACTGGGTGAGATGCCACCTGAATTACGACTCCTAAAATCCAAGTGCAGTAAAGGAATCGCTCTGGATTAAACGAGAATTCATTTAAATCAGCACCCTCTCTATGGCCAGAGGCCGGGAATCTGCATCTTTGGCTCTCCTCCTCGTGTCTGGAGCAGATAAACACAGCTTTTATCCCCATCTAGTGGGCTGTTACCAGAACACACGTGGAGGCCAGAAAATATTTTAGACCCTTGACAGGTTGCCTACTTGCTTTGCTGCTTTAAAGACTGCAGCAGCACACTCCTAGGAAGAGCAGGATGCTTCCTAAAATGAAGGATGGGGACACCCAGGACCCTCACAGCCCCAGGCACTGAGCCATGGCTGATGTAAAAATGCACTGCATGGCACAAGCTGAGAGGTCTGGTCTTCATTGCTGTTCCTCTCACTGGTGAATAAACTAACCCTGAAGCATTGTAACAGCATTTACTGTTCAAGCAGGAGTTACTTATCTTCAGAGATTAAAATGGCTCATCTCCACAACCCTAACGTGTCTCCTGTCATCTCCCTTAGCTTCTGCCCTTGCTTGCCATCCGTGACACTGGGCTGTAGGTATGGGTAACGCCACACACACAGAGTCTTATCTATGAAGGCCTTTTTGATTGAAGTGATGCCTTTGATTCCTGTATAGATTAAACAGTATTTTAAATGTTTAGTCTAATGGTTTCATTTTTAGTACACCCCCAAAGCTCATCTCTCCACTGCCTGCCCTCCTTCTTGGCATGCTCATTAGTGCTGCTCCAGGAGACAATCAATGCAATATTGTCCTTAATGCATCAGCCGCATCGCAACGGGCTTTATAATTCGCAGGGTCAAAAGAGAAGGAGATACCTGCTATTAATCAATGACAACTCCAACTTGAACTTCTCTGACTGTAAATACCTCATCTAGCTCCTCTTTGGGGAAGATGCATTAAACAAAAAAAAAAGATCAGGATTTATCTGTTCATCTTATTAAGGGTATCACTTAGACTTACATGGGGCTAAATCCTTCAGGTCTTCATTCAGACAAAGCTAACTCCCTGGGAATTGTGCCTTCATCAGGAAAGCATAATTTGGCTGTAGCAACTAACAGTCTTCTGTCAAGTCCAGGATACTGATCTCTGCTTGTACTTTCAGTACTGTACTTGTGCTTTCAGTACAAACCGGTATTTTAATATTTAAATGAGTTTAAATACCAGCCTGGCTTTGATCCTTACCGCTAAGGGAATGAGTGAATGAGGTGAACAGAAACACGGGTATCGTGTAAGGATCTAGCGGATAGAGACAGCCAGAACCAGTCACTCTGAAGACAACAGCCCCAGCATTTAAAATCCAAGGTTCAATAAAGTAAACACTGGTTAGGGAAAGGGCAGGGAGAAGACATTAACTGAACTTCATGGAACATCCAGGGGAAAAAATTTCCACGCTCCCTTGTGCTGACTGAAGCGCTTTTTAACTAATGAGTAAAAAGCCTACGACAGCTAAAGGGCACACACAGAAACACGCACAAGACTCCAGGCGAGGAGACAATCTGTTCCCAAATCACATGAAAACTAAACAGAACTCTCAGAAGCTTTAGGCATGGGCATGATATCATTCTGGTCCTGGATCATCCCATTCCCACATTCCTCCTGTCAGCCAGACCCAATAAACACCCTTGCAATAGGACCCCACACAAACAAAATTACCTGGCGTGCATTTCCCAAAGCTTGGTGCCCATCCGCTGGTCCCACACACACACCAAGCCCTCTTCTCCTCCACTGACAATCTTCCAGTCATCCATCTGGACCGCAGACACTCCTAACTGGTGGGCATAGAGGGAGCACAAAGACTCGCTTTTGCGGAGATCAAATACTCTGACCCTAAAAGAAAGCAAATAAAGAAGAGAGAAAACCAGATGTGGATCTGCAGCCTGTGCGTTCCGAGAGCACAAGTACTTTTGGGGCTATGAAAATAGGTCTATGACGGCAGTAGTCCCACGGCCACTACGGGGCCAGAAATCCACTACGGTTGACACTTGTCACCACTAAATTTTCACTCTGACTTCTACTATCAAAGACTTTTGAGGCAGACTTCTCCCACTGCACAGGGCCTCTCTGTCTCTTTACAAGTCGTAGGTGATACAAAACAAGTGAAATTTGGAAAAAGCTCTTCTATCTGTCCTCCCAAAACATTAGCAATGCCATGAGGCATAAAGTACCGTGTTTTGGGCACACTTGCTAACACGTCCTACCGCCTGGTACCTAACCCACGGCCACTATGGCCGAGGGGTAATATTATTATGAGGATCAAGGAAAAGGAAGAGACTAAATGCGTGGCAATTCAAAAGACAAGTCACGGGTATTGTAGGTTTATATGCCTGAGTTCATGACCAATATTGAACCAAAGCTGTCCACAAGCACCCAGCAATTAGTATCCCTTCTGATTTCAAAAATGCAATTACTGACCGTGGGCAGCTTTTAGGTACATCTGGTTTTCAGAAATTATTCACCACTCAGACTAAGTATTTTGAAGAGAAATGTATCGAAGACTCAGCTAGAAGCAGAACTGTAGAAAAGGAGCTTAGGATTTTAACCACTGCAACACGTCCACAAAAGCAGTTAAAGCTAATGGCGTTAATTTTTAAACCCAGCACGTATCACAAAGGAGTATGTTGTTTGATCCTTATATATCAAGATTAAGAGATAAAGCAAAGTACATAAACAAACTAAATGCAGCAAGTAAAAACAGAAGTAAATGGGAAATACTGATCTCAGATTTGAAAAGAAGCCAGAGAAAGTTCCTCCCAGCTGATGGCTATCAAAAATTAAACCATCAGGTACACATTAATTCCAGAAAAGGCCAAAACACACTTGTTCCAACACATTAACTGTACTTTATTCCATACCCCTGCTACGAACCTAATGGTGTTGCAAGTCTTTCCTTTTCCTTTCTCAAGCGGAGATTGCATCATATGATTTTACAAATAACACATTTCAGCAACTGAAATAGAAGGCAACAGAACGGTCCAAAACTCCAACAGAGCAACATCCATCTGACACGCAGACAAACACGCTGGAACAGAGCGAGGAGCACGCTTTGTGTGGCTCCGCAGTCGCCCTTAGGAAAACCCCTCCACAACAGTTGCTGATGGTGAAAAGGACTTCTTGCTTTCTCCAACTCCAGCAGAGAGACGCTTTGGCTACATATCAGAGCTATGCTTTGGGTAAGGATGGGGTATTTTGGAAGTGTTCACACCCGCCGCTCTCCCTGTCTTACTGCATGTGTTCTGCACGGCAATCAAAGCTTCTTCTGTTTGGTAAGCACAGTTGGAAACGAAGATCTGATTGTGTCCTGGTTATTTCATTAGCAAGGGACCAGGTTTCAGGCAGGTGTCTGTTCTGGCACACCCTTGGAAGAATTAGAGGCACACTTGAGTTGTTTAGATGCATTTAAAAAAAAAAAAAGCCACAACAAAAAGCAGAAAAGCATTTTGCAAGTCCAACGTGATGCTCTAACGCGGACCTGGCATGGCCCTCCATCCCCTGCCTCAACAGCCGGGCTCAGTGGGAGCACATCAGATTCATCCACGTTCAAGGGAGCTGCAAAGAAGGCGTTCTCGTGACCAGGCTTTGACTCTCCTGTTAGACTACCTTAGAAGTAAACTCACTTGCCTTTAGGAGAGCATGAAATACATGTTTCGACCCACACTTTTCAGCAATCTTATGTACTGGGCTTGCTGTATGTTTGCTTTCTCAATGCTATTCACCATCTTAGGCTCCACCAAGAAAAAGGCTGCTGTTGGGCAGTGCATCAGCACACGCTCCCCGTTATCAGAGCTCTTGCCAGTGTGAAGCACAGCTAAGTCATCAAATACATCAGCAATGTTTTGGGAGTATTTTTTGATGGAAAGAGATTTTATAGGCCTTACCAAAAACATTTCACTTCAACAGGGTGGTCGGCGTTACTTTTCAAAATCGTGGCTTTGAATAAAAGAATAGCATATACTAGTAAAATTGTGAAAGTGCTGTATTTAATTCCAGCAATACATTTCCTCACTTGCCATCAGGAGTTTGAACTCGTACGGCAAAGTCCCTATTTAGTACACTTGCTCCATAATAAGCCTACAGAGGTTCACGCCACATCCCACCTGTGATGCCCAGCACCTACTAACACCCTTCACACAGCACCACATGAGGAACTGATCTCTGAGATACGGGTGGTCTTGTCTCTTAGATGCCAAACTTACTTGCTGAACTATTGATTCCTAACTTCTTGCTATTTCAGTGATAGCCAACCCCTGAACACGGTCAATGCTTGAGCTGAAAAACTGAAAAGCTTTCTGGAAGGGAAAGGGCACAGACATGTACTCCAGTATGAAGGGAGTAAATTTAAAGCTCACTTAAAGGTTATCAACTTTATCTCTCCCATCATTGTGCAAGAGATCAAAATTGGAGGTAGTTTTACTGGGGTGCTTTGGAAAAATCAATTATCTGCTTTTAGAGGAAAAAAAACTCCCAAGTATTCAATTACACGTGTCAAACTTCAGATATTTCCTTCATCCTCTTTGCTGAGAAAGTGTGAGGTTTGGTTGCACTGCCTATTCACTGAGAAGGAAGAAAAAAAAAAAGCTGTTTGACAAAATAATCATTTTTACAAGCTGCTGCACTGGCGGGACAGAGGTCTGGGATTTGGCAAAGGGAAGTATCCGCCTTACAATCTGATACCCACCACCACACCAGACCACCACCTGCAGCCTGATGCCCAGTGCAGAAAGGAGGAAGGAAGGAAGAGGGAGCCATTAGAGACTGGCTCCTCGCCACCCCACATCTCCTTTGGTGCACTGGATCAGACCCCACAAATAACTAGCCAAAAAAAGAAAATCTAAAAATTGGACTCAAAGGGTCTTTTTAAGCACTTTAATCCTTTCGCACTGACTGTTCCCAGCGCGTCCATTCCTGGCACCAGATATTGTGCTGGGAAAATCCTACTCCCCAAGCCAAGGAGTTAAAGAGAAAGCTGCTAATCAGCTAAATAGAAGCTGGAATCTGTTCATATGAAAGTCTCTTTTTTTTGTCACCTGAGGGACATCACAGTGTTCCGAAATACACTCTTGACATCATTTGGCAGACGGACCCATCTCATCCTACATGATTCATCCCTTAGGTTATTTTTTTAATATCAGAAAGTGAGCTTTTAAATGCCAAACTAATTTTGCGGGTGGTGGTGGGGAAGTGGAAGATATTCCAAGTGGTCTCGCTGGGCTGTACACCAACTGCGTCCACCAAATGGCTTAAAAAGAAAGTCTTCCCATGGAGCTTTCTGAAACAAAGCAAACTGGCAGACACATCCAACTATTACCTAATATTTTGTTCCTGAAGATCACGCAGGCTGCATTTGAAACATTAGAGGAGAAACAAATTCTAGCAGGTCCAGATGTAGGACAGCAGGACAGGAAGTAAGCTAATTTGAGAGGGGTTACAGCTCTTGGTAGTACCTACCTTCTGTCTTTATTGCCTGTAACAAGCATGTTTGGAGGACTGTTCTGGAGGTTGACACACGTAAAGTCACCTAGCGAGTTGCCCATCTTCTTCAGACACTGACTTGTTTCCAGATTGTAAAGAAGAATCTGTCACAGAAAGAACAAACACCAGCTAAATGTAGCATGAGCACAACTACATTTTGCTGCAGCATAAAGTACAGCAGGGTTATTACCATCAGAGACGGTTTGCAGGACTTATTTCTCAATATGGTAATACATAACCAAGATACAGATCTACCTCTATTAAAGAAGGGCAACAACACCCTCAGAAATAAGGAAATCCACTTGCACAACGGAATGCATCAAGAAGCAGGGATGCACGGCTCTTGCTGACCAGTACCAGATCGGCAGAGCGCTCGGGCAGGCAAAGCAAGCCATACAGATTTTCTCCAGGTCAAATTTTTAGGGCTTACATGGAAAAGCAAATAGTTTCTTCATCAATTTTAATATTTGAAAGAGTAGCAGAAGTAAACAGAATCAACATTTAGAAGGTTTAGACAGATGGACTGTGCAAGAAAGATTCAGTCAAATAGAGCAAAAATTGAAGAGCAGAACTGAACATTGACTCAGCGCTGACAGGCCCTGCTGATAGCTTTGGTACAGATCATGTGGCAGAAACAGATTAAGAGGAATATTACATCTGAAGAGGCAGTTCAGATGGGAAAGGAATAAAAACAACTCTGATTTCAAGCAACATCCAAGATGATTCGACCAGAGACTGGAGGAGAGGTAGGAGTTGTTTCCCGTCTGTTCACCCTCCTCTCCTTTGCGCAGCGATCGGTTTAATCACGCTCACCGTCTTTCCCATGGGGCCAGAAGAGATTTATCTGTTTGGGCCTTTCAATTTAGGAGAACAAGTATTTTTAGAAACATAAAAATGTACTGGTCAAAGCCCGCTGGAGCTCAGCACAGTACCTGGTCTTACGTAACTTCAAAAAGTTATTAAATTTCACGGTGATGCTCCTTTAATTTAAAAGAAACCTATGACCATGAAAAGAGTAACGGTAGTTAAAACATCAGAAAGAACTTATGGCTTCCATGGCAACATCAGCATGGCTATGTCAACATCACATCAATATTCTTCACTTCTATTTTTCTTAAATCCACTGCATGCTTCATAAATATTACGCTATCTGCACATATTATTTCAACATTTGCCAAAACAGCAATAGTGATGCTGCCCAGCCTTTTACTTCCTACCTGTGCAATTTTAGTAAGCACCTGAAAGGTTGAATTAAGAGAGCAGGAGATCATTTTGTAAGGAACAAAAGTGAAGCTTTAAAAATCTCCAGGAATACTGCAAAGGCAGGCAGAGGATTTGCAGGTTTCCTCCACCTGCCATTTCTCCCCACTAAAGAGCAGGCATGGTTTTATCCAGACATATTATCAGCTCCCTATTAGAATCAACACATTCATACCAGACTTCCTCAGTTGCTTATAATATTTGTAATCTTCCAACTACTTCCCTTACCCAGCCTTGTCTTTGTGAAGCTATCTGCCTCAAATACCAGTTTCTAGCATGCAATTTTTCATCCTTAAGCCCCCAAAAACCAAAGCAATTTTCCCCAAGCTCTGTAAAGCAAGGAAGACTCTACCTTTGCAGGGAGACTTAGGACATAAAAGTTGCTAAAAAATTAATTTAAACTTCCATACCTACGAAAAAGTTGCTACAAACTGCATGGAAATGTTAGTATTCAAGGTAAAGACCAATTTACAGTATGTTCTCGCTTGCAGCACAGCTTCCAACAGCTCGCTAACCAAATCCACAGATAATGACATGCTGGCAAAGGTACTTTGCACAGTTTTCAGTGCAAAGGAAATCAATATCTGTGCCTGGCAACCAAATTTCTACTTGGAAAGTTCTGAACAAAAGATAAAGTCAATAAACTGCTGAATTCAACTTACGAACAATAAATGATCAGGTCAACAGCAACGTATTCCAGCTCCCAGTTGAGCCTCCGAACTGCACATTCCCAGCTGCACGTTAACACTCTGGAGAGGAGAGGGCCAAATGCTGCTTTCTCAAAAGTCCCCTGGGACTAATACTTAAAAGAACATCCATAAACTATTAATTTATCTAAATGACCATAGCTCCCATCTATCCTATAAACATATGATACATACTTGAAAATTCAGTTATGGCCATGAAAGACTGCAATGAAGAATTGCTTCCACATAGCATTTAAAGATTCCCCTGTTTTACAGCGGAGCAAATATTACATATCCTTCTGCTTGCTGTCTCAGTTTTAGACCTGTGGCAATCCTCACATGTAGGTAGCACCAGCTGAAAAATTATTTATTTCTCCTCACGTAACTTGCAGATGGCCACCAATTTAAAGTGTTCCCACCTAAGAAAGAGAATCTATTAAAAAGTAAAGGTTCAGATCCACAAAACTGAAAGAAAAGCTTGTCTTATCTTCTCTTACACCCTCCAATTCCTTCTCTTCTCATGTCAAGCCTCCATTCTTTTAAAGATTGTTGGGTTTGGGTTTTTTTATTTTTATAATGCACATGTGTATTTCTGGTCAGTTAGCCCTACCATTGGAAGAAAGATTCTCCTTGTGATTTTGGTAATCAAGTTTCACCTATCTTTAAATTCAACTTCCGTCTTAAGCAATTTTATGATCTGCAAATAAATTTCAAGATGTTAACCTGAGAAACTGATAGGCAAAGAAACAAAAGGAACTCAGAATGCTTTTTAAAGCATACTGAGGACAATTTTGAAGGTGCCAGAACACTTCTGATGAGCTCTCCTATGCTACCCCAAGGCAACAAGGATTTTCTTTACAAAGGCCAAGGAGAAAGAATAAAAATACCTTTCAATCGGGACTTGAAATAAGAGCCTGTATGTTAAAGGGCAGATAAAGCATAAGATCTTTAGGAGGTTTATAATCCTATAATGCACACTGCAAAGGGATTACCCTTTTAAAGATATTTATAATCCTATAATGGACACCCAAGACCAGTGACCTAATAGGTACCAAACCGAAGGTAAGTAAACCAAGAGCATTTAGGTGTGAAATTAAGTACCCTGGGATAACACGCTAACGAGCATCCCTTCCCCCAGTGGGACTGCAGGGACACGAGGGAGGAAAAGCATTAAATACGCTGTGCAGATGTATCAGGATCTAACGCACAAAATAAAGTGTTACCTATCAACATTGTTCAAATGAAAAAGTCTAAGTTATTGGACAAGAGCCAAGCAATCTCCCAGAATGCTTAATAATTCAACAAGCCAGAAATAGCCAGAGTACCTTTACCATTATGTTTAGTTAAAGACCACAGAGATTAGAAAACACATTATCCATCTCAGAGGCGATTCTTTCCATGTTACAAGTCCCTTAACGACCTTTACCATCTCTCCCCCTCTCTCTCTCTCTTTTAATAAGGCTGAGCAAATGGGACTTCATTTTATCCGATTGCCACAGACTAGTGGTATTAATTATTCATGCTCATACTCTCTCTTTTGTTAAGGCAGTGCATTAGACTAATTTCCCTCTTTATTGTGCGAGTTAGGCAAGTCTCAACTGTTCTTAGATAGATGCGCCAAGAAGCTGGCAAACTCATGAGACCAGGCAGAGGAAGAAAGGAAAAGTTACTGTCCTTCATGAAACTGCAGAGCAGTGGGTATGGGGAATTCTCTTTAAATGCTCTCTAAGAACTCAAGAAAGACGACTAAATTAATTCACAAAGAATTAAAGTCTCTGTAGTCAGAATAGCTAAGCTGGGAGCTTTGTTACATCTTGCAGCTAAGTGAGGTCAAGCGTGGTCGATGTACTCTGGTTGAGATACTTCCAAGAAAAACCAAGGAGTTGAAGGAAATGCTGTTGATGGAACTCTTCCATGCATGTCCAATACCCCAGCAGGTGTTCTGGGATCCTGTGTTGTTGGAGATGTCTTTTTTGGATGGAACACTAAAACAACAAATCCCCAAGCACTTGTTATCAAAGAGCCTGTGGTACTTTCAAAAAGAGCAGGGGTGTTCAACCCACTGTCCTGGCTGAAAGCCAGCCGACAACTGCTTTGCAAAATAGCTAGTTTCCCTCTGCAATCCCATTTCTGTTCCTTGTCAGAAGTTACCACATTGCATGGCTGGTAAAAATTGAGCTGTCTCTCAGAAGTGGGCAAAGCACGCTGCATACACAGTATATTTAGTTCTTATTTATCATAGAATTGTACAGTAGTTTGGGTCGGAAGGGACCTTTAAAGGTC